AAAAATTGCCATATAAAAAATAATGATAACAAACAAATATTTTTTAAAAAAACTAGACTGGGCGTGCCGTTCACCTACAGTTTAAGGGGCAGGGCCCGGTAGGCTCATCATTCACAGGTCACCATCTCCCAGCCAGTAATTACACTAAGCCTTACATTAAACAAATTATAAACCTCATTAAAAATTGCCATATAAAAAATAATGATAACAACAAATATTGTTTAAAAAAAACTAGAATGGGCGTGCCGTTCACCTACAGTTTAAGGGGCAGGGCCCGATAGGTTCATCATTCACAGGTCACCATCTCCCAGCCAGTAATTACCTAAACTTATTATTATACTAAGCCTAACTTTAAACAAAATATAAACCTCATTAAAAATTGCCATATAAAATATAATGATAACAAACAAATATTTTTTTAAAAAACTAGAATGGGCGTGCCGTTCACCTACAGTTTAAGGGGCAGGGCCCGGTAGGCTCATCATTCACAAGTCACCATCTCCCAGCCAGTAATTACCTACACTTATTATTATACTAAGCCTTACATTAAACAAAATATGAACCTCATTAAAAATTGCCATATAAAAAATAATGATAACAAACAAATATTTTTTTTTAAAACTAGACTGGGCGTGCCGTTCACCTACAGTTTAAGGGGCAGGGCCCGGTACGCTCATCATTCACAGGTCACCATCTTCCAGCCAGAAATTACCTACACTTATTATTATACTAAGCCTTACATTAAAAGGAATACTCCCTTCATTGAACAATGTCATATAGAAAATAATGATAATGAATGAATATTTAAAACACTAGACTGGGCGTGCCGTTCACCTACAGTTTAAGGGGCAGGGCCCGGTAGGCTCATTATTCACAGGTCACCATCTCCCAGCCAGTAATTACACTAAGCCTTACATTAAACAAAATATAAACCTCATTAAAAATTGCCATATAAAAACAATGATAACAAACAAATATTTAAAAAAAAAACTAGACTGGGCGTGCCGTTTACCTACAGTTTAAGGGGCAGGGCCCGGTAGGCTCATCATTCACAGGTCACCATCTTCCAGCCAGAAATTACCTACACTTATTATTATACTAAGCCTTACATTAAAAGGAATACTCCCTTCATTGAACAATGTCATATAGAAAATAATGATAATGAATAAATATTTAAAACACTAGACTGGGCGTGCCGTTCACCTACAGTTTAAGGGGCAGGGCCCGGTAGGCTCATTATTCACAGGTCACCATCTCCCAGCCAGTAATTACACTAAGCCTTACATTAAACAAAATATAAACCTCATTAAAAATTGCCATATAAAAAACAATGATAACAAACAAATATTTAAAAAAAACTAGAACGGGCGTGCCGTTCACCTACAGTTTAAGGGGCAGGGCCCGGTAGGCTCATCATTCACAGGTCATCATCTCCCAGCCAGTAATTACCTACACTTATTATTATACTAAAGCCTAATATGTACATTAAAAGAAATACTCCCTTCATTGAACAATGCCATTTTCAAATTAATGATAATAAACAAATATTAAAAAACTTGACTAGGCGTGCCGTTCACCTACAGGGCTTTTCGTTGACTGGTCACCGCCTCCAAGCCTGGAACTATTATTTAATTGTATTAAGCCTGCTTTGAGTCAATCACTTTGTTGTTCGATTACAATGAAGAAGAGGGAGATGTAAATGTCAACACGACATTTGACCACAAAAATCAAGCTTTAAAAAGAGAGGCTTTATTTACCAAAATAACTTTTCAATTGGTTACGTGGGAATAGGCATTTTTAATTTGTTTGGTATAAGAAACTATCAAACGCAATCTCTATGGAAGTTTTAAGAAAAAAAAGTGGATATAGATAAATTCAAATGTATCGTGAATATCGATACAAGCTATTCAAAATGAAACAGACTGAATGCCATTGAACTGGATATACAGTGATCGTACTCTGCACAGTGAACATTACCTGCACGTTCCATCTTTGTACGGCTTATAATGCGTAGAATGACGCCACATTTCTGGCGCCGAAATTGTTGAGAACTAAGGAAATAACGACATGTCATTAAACATGACAATATTCCCAGGCTCTGTCAAAGATTATCATCTGTCAATCGTATGAAATGTTAACATCCGTCAATATGACTATGATACAAACAATCATTCATAAACTTTGAAATTGGGCATCCGAACACAAAAAATATACCACTCACATTTACGAGGCTATCTATAGGATAACATTCACTAATATAAACATAACAGAAATCTGCACTCTTACCCAAGATAACATAATTATATCACTGATACGAACCCATGTTATCAAAACAGGCATTGCTGGTAGATATTAGAAATTAAATCCGGTAGGTGAGACAGAGCCGAAGATATACTGTTCATTACACAAAACTGTGAGACCAGGTACCAGGAGGTGTTTCACAAAACATGTCATCAGTGACAAATCACAGTTTTTGTTATAAGCTACTGAAATCCTTGCGTCTGATTCGTTATCAGCAGATTTGTCACCGATGTTTAGTCATTTGTCATTGAAAAAAGGCTTTGTGAAACGGGTCCCTGATCGGTAAAGATGGTTGGTTCAATACCAGCAGGGATACCAGATTATGTCCTTAGACACTTCTATTGAACATGGCCACTGGACTATATAAGAGTCAATTGAAAGAATGTCATCTTAAAAAGCAGCTTAATATCCTCTTCTAATCTAGCTTGTCCATCGCAAGCTCTCTGAAAGACGGTTTTGTCACGTTGGAGGAAGTCATTGTCCTCGTCAGCTCTGACATGGTTGAGGCTCGAATAACCCGAAGCAGTACCAAATAAATCGGAATGAAAAGAAAACATTTTAAAGCAACTATTATGCAAATCTGTTTAATTGTGCGACCATCTTTGTTACTTCTATCACAATGAAAATGTATTGCTAATAACCAAGCAAGACCACTGGCGGAAGACGTAACAATTTCGGGGCAGAAAGCCTCCATCCCCCCCCCCCTCCCCCAACCTCCCGCCAGCGTCATTCCCCCCCCCCCCCCCACGTGAGTTCCGGACCCCAGTATGAGCTCATTTGCATACATCTAATCAGAAGAGTCTAGCTAGCTATCTAAACATGCGCATGTGCACATGGTAACGTTAGGGTTATAGATAGGGTTATAATAATCATGTAAACCCACCGTTCATCAACACCGTCGTTTGCCCAATCGGTAAGAACAGCGTAAAGCAACGTTGGAGTTGTGGGTTCCAATTTCAGTATTAATTTAGTTTTATTTTTTGCCTTTATAAATAGTGAGGCAAAACAAGAAATAATCAAAGTCTAAATGTGCGCGACCTCTTTCCAAGCTGCTAATGACGTAAAACATATCGGCCAGGGTCCGGAACTCTCGTGGGGGGGGGGGGGGGGGGGATGACGCTGGCGGGAGGGTGGGGGAGGTAGAGGCTTTCTGCCTCGAAATTGTTACGGCCAATAATGAAAAGGGGAAAGAAAATAACAGAAGAAAAAGTAGAAAGGGAGAAAGAAAAGAATAATAAAAAAATAAAAGACTTCCTTTTTACCTCATAATATTAATCATCTATTTTTGTATCTATATTGTAGGACATAATAATGGCTTTGTAAAACCAAACGTACAGGGCTCATTTTTCGATCTTGGGCGACAATTCATAGAAGAAAAGATCATGTGCTCTATAAAGGTAGCATTAAAAACAAAAATGTGTTTTATGATTATACAAGATCAATCTCAAGTTTGCAGTCTTCTATCTCTTATGTACATAGTTGCGATTTATATCAATCGCAAATAAGTTGCAAAAACATAATTATTATGTATAAACAGTCACATTATCATTATATTTGACACGTAATCTGAAAGCTGCAGCTGAGTAGGTTGGGAAAGGGATTTTTCTTTAAATCCAATAGTCTAGCTATGAGATTATGACTGTAGTCAAATTTTCAACAGAATGAAAGAAATGGGCCTACAATACTACAACAACATTATGTAAAAGTAAAATGAAAAGAAAAGATAGAAAATTGACTCGAAGCTCTGTCACTGATGCCGTACAACAATTTTTGATTATTCAGGTTTCCGCAGTTGCTTTCTTTTTTAATATTTTCAATTCCAATCATATTCTTGACTCAGGTAAATTTAGGAACATTAATAATAATAATAATAAATTAATTAATTTCTATTTTCAACTTAAATTCATTCACCCCCCCCCCCCTCCCTGGATCCGCCACTGTAAGTGATGTTTCATTCGAAATGAAAAGGATCAATAAAATATGAAATACAAACAAAAGAGGCATTGGGGACTCCCGACTGTCAATTTTATTACACCATTGGATTAACTCATGATCATGATCATGACCATCTATAATTAAGGTCACGATAAAAGTTTGTACAAGAGGAATCACATTAAAATTGGCAATCATTAGGTCAAAGTCGAATATCCCAAAGCAATTTAATATATTGTTCCTTATCCAGAACAAAAGCGTATGGTATTTAATGTCAACAGCATTATCCGATATATCCAGAATTAAAAACAACATGTGAAAACGATGTAAAGACGTTTTGTTTTTAAAATGAAAGGCACTAGCTTACCTAAAATGTCTACAATTTAGTTCTAGTCATATTCTCAACTTTGATTTAGAAATGAAAGGCATGTCATAAAATATCTACAATTAAGCACTAGAGAAATCCTCATCTAAGTTTAGATTGTTTATATTTAATATTTCTCTCTTCATTGGTATCTTATCTGAGAATTCCACAAAAATTCTACAACATTAATCATTAGAAGGATTTATTAATGATTATGAATGCATTCAACAACAATAGATGAGGATTATGCTGCATTATTGTAGAGCGCTTAGAGACTTCTGACAAAGTAAGTGTTAGGCGCTATATAAGCACTGTAATTATTAATAATAACAGTAAGAGCATTTAAATATATTGAGAAAAAAATATATAATATTGGTTAAATGATTTTTAGTGATGCTATTAGATTGTCAACAATGAAGTCAAAATGTTTGTATAGTTTATTGTGTAAATTCAAGACAAGTAATCCAATTGTATTAAGACATTGGGAAGAACATTTTAACCTTCCTATCGATTTGCCTAGAACAAATATATTAAGTTCAAAGTATCAAAAACAGTAAAGTGAAACAATTCAGTTTTAAAGCACATCATCGTATTTTACCATTCAGGTCAAATCTACATAAATGGAAAGTTGTAAGTGACAATTAGTGTGCTCTTTGCAAAGCTACCGTATCGTCTGTTCATGTTTGGCTAGAATGCCAAAAGATAAAACTATTCTGGAAACGAATTGTTGCTTTTATTCGCTGCAACTTCAAACCATCACTGATATCAAGTGAAAAAGCACTTGATTCTTGGTAAAGTTTATAATTTTTCAAATACTAAAAATATTAATATAATCATTACATACGCACAATATGCATAATGTATACGTTAAACTACTTTCAAGGGGAAAAGTACACGTTTATAAAAAAAAAATTAAAAGAACTGCATCGGATAAAATCGCATTACAACATTTCACTCCGTGATTTTAACTGTAGAATTATCGTCTACATAACGATGAGAAATGTTTCCATGTATAGAAATATGAATGATAAACAGTGGTCATAAGCGCGCCCCTCCCCCATTTTTTTTTGTGGTAAGATATCGTTTAAAGTACAGTCTATATTTGCTTACAGTCGTAGAGTACTTCTAGATACTTGAAGGTATATACACAAGGATCTCCAAAGACAACGTTGCTGGCAGTCACTGTGCAGGAGGACAGGCCATTGCACTTGTCCTTCACGATGCGAATAGAGGACGATGCACGGCAATTCTGATTTGAGGTTTGAGGATGAGGGCAGATGTCCGGGCCTGCCATGCGACCATAGAATGCGTCAAGGACCACGATCTTCTGTCCTGGTGGACAACCGATGTGAAGAATATCATGCTCGCAGACACGACCCCTGCGAGCGCAAGTGTACTCCATCTCTAGATACTTGTAGGTACCTACACAGGGATCACTGAAGATCTGGTTGGAGGCAGCCATCGTGCAAACAGACCGGCCTTGGCAGGCTGATCGGGCAGTAGCGAGAGAGTTAGGAGCGGCGCAGTTGGTTGTTTGGATGCTAATATGAGGACAGAAATCCGATCCAGGAACCTGGCGACCATACATGGCTTTGGATATGACAATAACCGGAGTGTGTGAAGGACAGCTTAGGTTGATGGAACCCCCTTCGCAGATTCGTTTCATATTGCTTACGGGTCCGGGCTTGCAGGTATACTTTACTTCAAGATACTTGTATGTGCCGACGCATGGGTCACCAAAGACAGAATTAGTAGCTAGGACGGTACAGCTTGTCTGTTCGTTACAGATGTTGCCGACTATGTTCAAAGAATTTGATGCAAAGCATGCAGTCGTCCGGATGCTGCTATGTGGGCAAGTTTCTGGTCCTGTTGTCCGACCATAGTTAGCGCTGATGATATTGACTACAGATCCAGAAGAGCAAGATAAAGACAGGGAACTCCCCTCACAGGTGCGTTCCGTGTTGCAGTCCGATCTATTTTCGCAGGTGGGTTCCGTTGGAATTATGTCGTTTCTTCTCTGGCATGTGTAGTTGACCTCAAGGTATTTGTAAGTACCAACGCAAGGGTCACCAAAGACACTATTTGTTGCAACCACGGTGCACCTTGTCTGTCCATTACAGAGGTTGCCGACAATATTCATTGAATTTGATGCGTAACAATCAGTTGTCTGGATGCTGCTATGGGGACATGTTTCTGGTCCAGTCGTCCGACCATAGTTGGCGCTGATGATGCTGAGCACAGATCCAGAAGGGCAAGATAGAGAGAGAGGATTTCCCTCACAATTCCTCACAACTGTTTTGAAATGATAATTAAACCAACAAATTATATTAGCACTTGACCTCTGCCTATGGTCCAATTCAATAAGCTTTCGGAATGTTAACTTTTATTCCAAATTTTCAAAAAATTAAGTAAGATTACATTTTGATTTCATTGATAACTTAAAGGTACGTGTGCCCAATGATCGTCTGATACAACATAACTTCTTTTCCAAGGTAGAAATAGTTTAGCTATATTCTTTCCTACATTTTCCCGAAATTAGTGCTCATTGTCTGTCTATAACGATGTCATATTATGAGGAACTCTTGTTTAACAAAATGGTAAAATCTTTCATAAATCAGATAATCACATTTTGCAAATCACTATCATTCAGTTTTGGTCACTAAGATCAGGCGTTTGTTGTACAAAATATCCACAGTAGATCAAAACTTTACCAGAGTCGAAGAATATTGCTAAATAGGACAGTTGCCACGCCGTTTGATAATTGATAATTATAGGTCTCCAGGTAATATGCTTTACCTTAATCAGATTTGACCAAAAAATACTTACGGTAAACTCGGTCTTTCACTGTGTAATAAGCTAATTCAACAATCAAATTTCAGTTATAAGATATAAAAACTAGCATTTTGTTTCACCCACATAATCATGATTGATGAGAATAACTCACCGGTTGCTGTTGTACACCCAAGATATAGGTATACCATGCAGATGACACAAAATAACGTCTTTCCTGCCATATTTACTGTTTAAAAATGAAGAAATGAAACAGTATTATGGGCTAGCAACAGTAGGTCAACAAGACAGTGATCATTTCCTCATTGATTTTTGAGTATAACTCGTGATCAAGCAGCCGGATACCACGTACAGCCAGACTTAAACGTCCTACAACAGACCAAAGTATGATCATATGATTATTATGATAGGTCTATATTTCCATCAAATCATGAATAGCCAAGTACCAGTCGGTGTAGGGGTCGGTGTGGAATCGGTTTGGTGGTCTGACTGAGATAATAGATTATTCGAATGACCTTTGGGCTCGAATGTAAATATTGCCTCCAATGAAAGGCAGTTGTGGATCCAAGGGGCACCTCCCCTAAACAAACAAAAACCAACAATAATAATAATGTAAAAATAATGTTCTTGCTTTGCACAGAATTGTATAATGTGTTCTCACCCCGCTTTTATAGCAGTTCAGTAGAATATGTCGTGATAGCTATGGGTACACGTATATAAGTGTGTCTCATAATTTAAAAAAAAAGACTTATTTAGGGAAGGGGCATTGGAAACGACCGCAGTTCTAGGGGTACAGTTCGTTTTTTAATGAAATTTGGATATTTTGTCCCCCCCCCCATGACCGGCTTCATTGCCTTATACGGTGGTGCATTCTCAATATGGTAGGGCCTACACGTTATACACAAAGCTCCTCCGATTCTCTGAAGTAATATATCGCTCTTAATTTGGATGACTGTAAATTAAAGGGCACATTGGAATCATAGGTTAAAGGGGTACTTATCAAAAAGGGCATTTATAGGAAAGGAAATAGGAAAATTATCAAAAGGTAAAGAGGGGAACTTATCAAATTGAATATGGGCACTTATTACATCGAAAAGGGGCACTTATTAGATTTTAAAGAAAAAAACTAGGGCACTCAGAGAGAAAAGGAGGCCCCTGTCATAGTAAGATGGGACACTTATCATATTCAAAAAAGGGCTTTTAAGGAAGTGAGAAGGCAATTCAAAAGGGACATTTACAAGACAGTTGAAATTGACAATAAATAATTACAAATAAAAGAGGCACTTATCAGAAGTAAAAGGGGCACTTTGGAGGTACTTCAAAAACGTATTAGAGTGTTCTCAAAGTCCAGGAAACAGTTTATATATATTATGTAACCCGGAAACAATTGTCTACTTTCTGATTTAAAAACAAATCTAATAGTTTCTTTGCATTGCACTTATCTGACTATACTGCCTCCTTAACTTCGTGTGTTGACAACGAGAAAGGTAATAACTCCATACATTAGTCAATGAATTAATGCCCTTCTGGCTCTCAACAGACGATAATCATGTTTTCTATAGGGATTTCCTGGTAGATGTATCGATATCAAGGGGTACTTATACAGGGAATAGGGGACGTGACTCCTCCTCCTCCTCCCCCCTCCCCCCCCCCCCCCGAGAAAATGAATTAAATTTCTATTTCTAAATGTATTTCTCTTTTACCCTTTTTATTCCTTTTCTACTCTTTAGTTGTTCATTTTTTCCTTCTTTTTGTCATATTTTTTACTTGTGCTTGTTTGAATATAGCATTTGCTAATTTGGTAAACCATCCGCCCCCTGTCAATAAGGTTACACGCATCCTTCTCAATTTGGAAAAGTGTTTCCTCTATCTCACACACACACTCTTTCTATCTCTCTCCTAGTTTTCTCTGTATGTTTGTATGTCCGTCTCTCTCTCTCTCTCTCTCTCTTTCACTCTCTGCTTTCACTCTCTGCTTATTCTTTATATCCCACTATGTTTTTACCAATGCACATTCATTACGGCCACATGAATTATGAACGACGTTTTTTCCAACATCAGTTCCACTCCTTATGTTGTCAGATATAATTATAACATTGCGGCTGGGGTTATAATTTATAATCATGTTAGGTCCAGGGCCCCCGTTTCATAAAACTTGTTATTAATAAAAAGCAACGATAACTGTTATAAGCTACTGAAATCGTGGCATTGGATTGAAGAACAAATTTGTCATAGAAATTTAGCACTCGTTATTGATAACTAGTTTTATGAAACAGGGCCCAGGGTTAAAGGTAAACATTTGATTAGTGCTGGAAACTGACCACATAGCATATGTTGGACAATCAATTACACACATAGTTCACCATTGTTCACCCACTATCAGAACTATCTTGCATCATACCAGTCTTATCATTTCATCCTTTTCCCCCAGCAAACGCAATCGGACAAACAAAAAATAAGCATTCATTTGCAAATGGTTGCCACCAAATGATATGAGAACACAAAACAATACAAGTATATTAAATGACCAATCAAATCAATGTTAAGGTTTCATACAGGGTTTGTATTTTCCAAAACAAGGCATTTACAAAAATCAAAAGTGCAAAGCTATATCTTCATATCGATATGTCCAACAGCTGTACATGTATTAAGCAATATCACTTCGCTCTATCCCGATACAATAAATACACATTTACATACAAAGTCGACCCGCAAGACACATCAGTAGTAGAACATACCCTCAAAATATACTATCATACTTTTTTTATCTTCTGCCTTTTTGAAAAAAATACAGAATACTTCTTATGATTATTTTTCATGACCTTAAAAAATGTACAATGCACATGGAATGTAAAAATAAACCAAGAAACATACATGTAATACAAACCCTTAACTTTAACTGAAAATTTGAGCAAGAGGTGTAACTTTTGCACTTCTCATAAAATTGTGTGCTATTTTGGAAGAGCAAAATGGGATGAAATTACAAATTTCTTCCCATATTTTTTAAACTGAAATTAAGTTTCCAACTTTCCATACTGTTCAAATTTTCTTCTTTAATTGAAAATGACAGTTGCAATATAGCCTTGAGCAGAAGGATATAAAAAGAGTGTGACATGTAAAAGGCCATCTGCTTCTCTTGTAATTTCAGGGAAACCGATATACTTGTGTTCTATAATCAAGTCATAGGTATTCTGTAATAAATCAGTATCGTGTAATAATTAAGAAATTTTAAATTACCTGTAGTCACAGTACTGTAAGTAAATTTGGTTAAACTGTAAAAAAAAAAGGATTTCAAGAATTCAAGAGTCGCAAATGCAGATTAATGTCTTGCCAAAGGACATTAGTGCCTCGGCAGGACTGGAACTGCGAACCATGTGATCCACAGTCCGGCGACGTTTCTACTAGACAACGACACCTCTACGAAAAAAACATTCTGTATGAATTATGGGTATGATGTGGATATATAGTTAGGCACCATACATATTTCAGGAGAACATTTATCTAAATGGTGATGAACTTACATATCTGCTCTGATATTTGAGAAGGAAAAAAGGACATTTTACTAGTCATATCAATCATGGGTATTAGACTGTAATTAACAGACGATTCTCAATCTTGCTTGTGAAACGGTCAAGGGTTGGTGAATAACATATAAAGGCTGTATACTTGATAAAACACACACATAAAATATCAAAGACTCGATTCTTAAAGGCAACACATGATAACTCTACAACTTTTCCCTATGTACATCCACCCAGCCCCCACCCTTCCTCCATCCTCACCCCACCCAACCCCCTCCCGGGTCTATCACCGCTTCATGTAGGTCCAGTAACAGTTCAGTTCTCTGGATTTGGTTCAACCTCGGGATTTTCCATCTGGACCTGTATTCAATAGGAAGAGGACACAATACATGGAGAATGGTGTGTAATAATCGAATGGTGGAAAATAATAATAAAGAAATAAAAATAATAATCTGCTTTTAAATCACATGAACACTCTCATCGCTATAGGTAACAGTTGGATAAATTTTAAAATGAATTATTCTTTTTCATAAATCAAAGTAAGACCGAGATTTGCACATTTTGACATTGAAGGATGTATTGACTTTTGAGTTACTAAAAATCAAAAGTTTCTGTCTTTTTATCCATCTAGGTAGTATGATTTTATTGAAGAATATATCATACTAATATTTGAGTCAGCTATATCAGCGTATTAAGACCAATGCTTTAGCCACTAATTTCTTGGTTTGTTGCTTACAATGTAAGAAACGTGCTTTAGTTTCTTCATTTCACAATAAGGTTATAAAAAGTTCTTGCATGACTCGCGGGACATTGTTATGATGATCTAATCCTCTTAGTTTATTAAAGAATCAGGAATTATTTCATGCAACACGTTCAGAAGTCCCAGTATTCATCGTTGGCCATTACCATTACCAGAAAATTCCTTTACCAATTCAAAATGTCAGCCACAATAAGAGAAAGAACTTCTGAAGTGACAGTTTGCTTTTGTCCTCAAAACTACCCCACAACAAACGCCCCTTTAAAGCCCCACTGCACTACTTATAGCTACTTGTGACCTCTATATATGTAGCAAACAATGCCTAATTGGTGCCTGTTGGTCCCCCATGGTCCCCTTTTTCTAATGTTAATGGAGGGCTGATTTGATGAGATAACCACCTGTCAGTGACCATGCAGGGAGGTCTAATCCCTCCTAGCCAAACTAGTGCAGACGGGCTTTAAAATGGTCAAGAGCAGCTGATGATCAAGATGCACAGTACTACTCACCTTTGCCTTGAGTTCCCTGTTCTCGTCCTGTAGCCGTTCTACCTTCTGCATGAGTTCACTGACCTGTAGTCTCAAGGATTCTACATCAGCCGTGTCTGGTCCACCCTGTCCCATGTGAGCTTTCAGGAAGCTGTAAGCAATGTCAAGTTAAGGTCTACAAACAAGATGTCGAGGAGTCAGTGACACAAAGACGTAACTCCATTTTGGGCTTTTTTAGAAAAAGTGGTCTATGTGTCACTGAGCACTTGGGCCGTAAGGAGTTACAGTAAGTTTTTGTGTTTCCTCGAAAGCCCACACTGTTTCTGAACATTTAGATATCAAAGACTCATTTTGGCAAGATATGGAGTTATGTCTTTGTGTCACTGAACCCTCGATGTTATATTTGCCCAAACTGAGATGATGGTCATTCACATCATTTTTGTTATGGTACCATATATAACTATATATTGTATATGGTACTATATATTTTTATTTTAAAACATTCAAAGGTACAGCGAGCATTCGATTCAGTTCAATCTCCGCTCAATCTCTTTAAAAAATGCTTCGAAGTGGGTTCAATAAAATTTATTGTGGACCCACTGGCTCCACTAAGATTCAATAAGACTCAAACCCAACATTGAAGTGAGTGGTAAAAAAAATTACACTGTATAATCTGTATTTAATATGAATGATTATTATTTTTCTTACTGATATTGGAGTTCTAAATTTTGCTCAGAGACAAGACAACCCATGAGACTGACAGCCTTCAAGACTGGCAATGTTGGCCTTGTGGGCCATCTGACAACTGTGTTCTGGAACACTGAAGCTACATGTATGATGCAAACTGAATAATTGATTGTTAATGTTAATGTTTACACATACATGTATAAGAGTAGCAAGTCATTACAGTCATTATGTACAAAATGTAATAAGCGCATTTTGAAGGAAACTATTGTGCACATTCAAATCTGCTATAAAAACAACAATAAACAGACAACAACAAAAAAATTCCCACAAAAATTTGCATCTAATTTTGTTTGTCTTTTTTTTCTGGTCAGATGTAATAGCTTAAGTTACTACTAAAGAAAAAATCAAATAAATTGTGTCATTTGTTAAGGATACTCTAGTGCATCATTTGGTTTCTCTGGCTCCTCATACAGGGCTACCAAGATCTTTGTGAGAGCATCTAAGACTCCGGCCTTCTCCAGATACTTGCGGAACTCCTCACGCTTTGAATCTCCAGGCTGTGTATCAAGAAAAAAGGAGAATGTACAGTACATGTAGGAAGGGTGAAACACAGCATTTTACAATCATCACAACAAAATATAGTAACTAGTTAGCCACATGTAACTTGTACATTCTGGATGCTGTTAATAGAACAGAATTCTAATTAATTTTCTTTTACAAAGACTATGGCCTCAAAGTTCAAACCTGATACTTTTTTTCCTTTTTCTTTTGAACAAATGTGTGTTCTTGACAACTTCTTGCATTATTTTCTACATGTGCCTTGCTTAAATCAATTTCCAATCAAGAAAAATCTGATGTTTAGTTTGAGCTTATTTAAAGTCAAGTTTGACCAAGGAGGTTTCACTCAGGACTTGAAATTCCCATTGCTTTGTTTCCTGTGACTTAGTCCCAATGTCCAGTATTAGGTTAGGTCAATGCATTGACATTCAGTGCTTTGTCGCACAATTTTCAAAACGGATTATTCCAGTCAAGTTGGTAAGTGGAACCGATGTATTATAGCCTACATGTAGGCCTAATTTACAATATAAAATAAATTGGATATGCACAAGGTAAAATGAAATTTGGGGGAATTTGGGGGAATTTGGGGGAATTTGGGGGGCATTTCTATCTTTCATCTTCCCTTTCAATTATTCCCTGCTCTGGATACTGCCCCAAATGTCAACGTTAGACAGTTTTGCAATCACAGTGGCAATGTCTCGACTATTTCTGACTTTGTCTTGTTTTTGATCTTTTCATTTAATTTGCAAATCTGAGTTTTGGAAAAATAATCTTCCGATCAGACCAATGGCAATGTCATGCCAATTTTGCAAACATCCTTAAATAGTAACCTTTTTTTTAAATTTATAACTATCATTCATACACAACTTTCACTGGGCTCATCACACAGCCTCTCAGCTCAGGCAACTACAGCAAATAACGGCGCTAGTGTAGTTCCATATCCATTTTTTTTAGCAGTTTCATATCCATTCTTAGCAAAGGAATTTTAGCCCAATTTTTTACTAATTTTAATCATAATCATATAGACTATTATTGCATTTTCAACCTGAATTTGGATCACATCCGACATCGGGAATCCTCCGTTTAGGGCTTCGATGTCGGCGTCGTCGCTCAGTACCGTCTCCGCGCTATAGCTTTGCAACTCAAACTGAAGCGATCAGTCTAAAATTATGCAAGCTTCTCGTATAGTTTATGGTATCGTGCATGTGCGTAAAAAAGGCATAAAGCATACGCTATGTTTGCATAATTTTAGACTGATAGCTTCAGTTTGAGGTGCAGAGCTATAGCGCAGAGACGGTACTGAGCGACGACGTCGACATCGAAGCCCTAAACGGAGGCTTCCCGATGTCGGATGTAATCCAAATTCAGGTGGAAAATGCAATAGACCCTAGGCCTAGATCTAGACCCTAGACTAGATTAGGCCATGTAAAATTGATTTCATGTTGATCGTCCCCGCCCGCTTCCTTTTTTCCGCCCGCCTCCTTATATTTGATATTTGATATTTTTTTTTTTTTTTTTTTTTTTTTTTTAATAAAAAAAATAAAAATAATAATAATCGAGTACAACTTGTTTTAATTCTTTGTCAAAAATAAATATAGAGTTGATATTTGATCTATATATATATATATACGGGTTCTCAGTGTTTTTCTTTTCAGGAAAGAGAGAGCATTGGATTTTGCCCTTAACATTTTGATACAGTCAACAAATCTTGGTAGTGGTTTCTGGCATATACTCCCATTCTGGCACTCCTTTGGTAGGGTATATGCAGCATTGCTGGATTTCGATTTATACATGCATGGGTCATCACCCTTGGTACTTTCAATGTTGGAGTGAGGATTTAATACTTGGCATTCAATATCATGACGTGATGGTAGTATGCATGTCACTTAGTTGGCGTCCTCTGCTTGAGGCAGCTTCCTGTAGTGCAGACTTGGATAGACCAAAGCTAGCCTGTAGGTACGCCTTCAAGGCTTCCAATGAAAATGTTTAATATCATGTCATTCATGTAGATCTACATAAATGTTAAAACAACAATTACAAAATCAAAACAAAAATGACAATATATTTACAAATTACATATTTAAAATAAAGGCAACATTTAATATTTAAAAATAGACAAAAAGAAACCTGTTGAAGAAAGCCAAAATTTATATTTTAGGGCAAATCAAACTCACTACGGCAACGTTGGTTGATGTACATATTCAATTATATACTATTTGTACACGCGGCAGCCATCTTGGGAAAAATATCAAATATCAAATAACATGGTAGGTCTAGGCCTAGATCTACACCCTCCTCCTCTTTTTCAAAAAATCCGGACGATCAACATGTAATCAATTTTACATGGCCTTACTTAGATCTATATGATTATGATTAAAATTAGACCTCTAGTAAAAAGTTGGGCTAAAATTCCTTTGCTAAGAATCGATATTAAACTGTTAAAAAAAACTGCTAAAAAAAATGGATACGGAACTAATCTACACTAGCGCCCAAATAACAACAGACCCGGGATTGTCACGGGCACAAACACAGTCACAAACACAGTCACCCTAGGCCTCTACAGACAGAACAGGCGCAACTCAGCTCAAGCTCAGCACTGCTGCCAACAGCATTGTCACTGCACTGGCTGCCACACAAACAAATTGTGTTCCACCAATTTCTGCTAACAAAATTTAGAAATATAAAACATTTATAACATTACCCTGTACGTCGTCATAATTATATAATCACCGGTGTCCTTTTTCCAACGCAAATGTACTATTAAATGACAGTGTCAGCTGTACAGAAATTTTGAAAGCAGTGTTTCGACCTGGCTCGACGACTAATAAATACGGGTTGCTATATGCACAATACGCATGCGCAGTAACTTTCTTTATGATAAATTTAGGCTATCATTATAAGACTGTGGCAATTATTTTATGCACAAACTGAATTGATAATTATATATCACTTTCTTTCACATATCATTACTCGATAAGATGATTTCAGAATTATTATTGGCAACTAAGAAAGTGAAATCTTGCAATAAGACTAGGGTGCCTTAGTCATCTCGACCATTTTACATTCACACCTGATACCGTTTTGTTTTTATCTTTACTGCCCTTATAAATGTACCCAGTTGCCGACGTTTATTGTCATTGGCCGAGAAATCTGTTGGCCGAGATGAAAGAAATATGAAACCTAGTAGACAAATCTTGACCGAAGAAAGTTAGCACTGCCAATCTAATGAATAATCATTTTTATGTTTATTCATTTATATTACTAGTAAATAAATTGATTTGTATTAACTGGAAACAGGAAAAGCAGTTGATTGGTAAAATACTTCAACAAATTTAAAAGATAATACATAATAAACGCTTAGAATGATATTAAGTGAATTAACCAACACTATAGTTATAGCTTTTCAATAATAGGACCGTTACCATGAATAGGCGTCAATGACCATAAGGCCAAGGCTCATGCGTCGTACGCTGTACCCGCGCGTGACGTGTACAAAGGTTTTAAATGAGATCACAATTCGACGTACTCCTAAATAAAAATAAAAATCTCTGTTGCATCAAAATAAAATTATACGTTCATTGTATGTTATTGACAGAAGTTATATACATCAGACATTATACTTTAGCACAAAAGGGTTATCTATAGAAGAAGGTGGACAACATTATAAGAGAAAGAATAATGATTTCTCGTTTATTTATACAAAAATTAACAGCATAAATACCCCTACAAAAACAGAAGAAATCTTGAAGAGAGAGAGAGACAAGAAAAATATGAAAAGGACCCAACAAATAAAAATAAATAAATAATAGGATTCTAGAGCGGAAGATGATAGGGAAAACGTAATAGTTTGGTAGTATTGGCAAATTTTGACAATAATAGTGTGTAAGTATATTGACAAAGTATATACAAACAAAAACGACACAAAATATTTGAAAGCATTTTAGACCTACCGGTATATAGAATGATTATACGAAAAAAGTTATGTCTGAGGCCTATCTACATCATACGTAAGAGGAATAGTGAACGTGGCCAAAGGTAGAGTTCGTTGTCATGGTTATAAACTCGAACAATAGAAGGGCGGATTATGAGGTAGGTGCTTGCATGACCTTCTGCTCGTAACCGACAAGTCACCGCATTAAAATTGAATTGCAAATAGTTTTCAACAACAAGATGGTGTATGAAACTTTCTAATATTCGAAGATATATGACCTTCAGACCATATTGTTTCATTATTTTTTATTCAATCAATCAACGTCAAAGAATTGATTTATCATCGCTCTTCAATTTATTATTTCACCTTTGTATATGTACTTTCATTCGTATGCATCACGAAAGAACACTGAATTGGATTCTTCAATGTTTGTTTTGATTAATTTCTTCCCCTTTCCTTCTCCCTGTTTAACACTGATACAATTTTCAATTGTTCTTAATCAAGGCAAAATATTATTTTCATATTTTCTTTATGCAAGACAGGGAGAGAGAGAGAGAGAGAGAGAGAATATGTTTAGTGAGAATTATCGAGTACAACCATGAATTGCATCCTTTTCAATATTATTCAATTCGCTGAAAATATTCAGAATATGAATATGATAAATCCACATAATACACCAACGCTGTTCAACGCATCCAACGCTCCAACCATAGCCCATATGCCAATGCACCATATTTATCAAATATGAAAAGATTTTTAAATGAAATGTGAAGAAAAATCAAATTTACAATGCACTAACAGGCATCAGTTGAAATCATGAATTCTCTGTGACTGGCTTAGCACTAGTTTCTGAGGGACCAGTCACTGAAGAGGAGATAGAGGGAAGGAAAATTAAGGAAGAAGTAAAAAAAAAAAAAAAGGGGGCTATCAGTTGCAATTTTCCCGCCAACAAGAGCTAAAAGGGACCAAAAAAGAGGAAGAAGAAAAAAAGGGTGAAAAGAATTTCGATGCGGTGTTCGAGTAGAATTCTGTGAGATGATGATTTGCTTTCTGACTCGTAGCTTGAAGTGTCTATATCCAGATATCTGTTGATAGTATTATAGAATATAGAAGCGTGAAAATGACCTTCTGCTCGTAACCGACAAGTCACCGCATTAAAATTAAATTGCAAATAGTGTTCAACAACAAGATGGTGGATGAAACTTTCTAATATTCGAAGATATATGACCCTCAGACCATATTGTTTCATTATTTTTTATTCAATCAATCAACGTCAAAGAATTGATTTATCATCGCTCTTCAATTTATTATTTCACCTTTGTATGTACTTTCATTCTTATGCATCACGAAATTAGAACACTGAATTGGATTCTTCAATGTTTGTTTTGATTAATTTCTTCCCCTTTCCTTCTCCCTGTTTAATACTGATACAATTTTCAATTTTTCTTAATCAAGGCAAAATATTATTTTCATATGTTCGTCTTCTTTCTCTACTGATTTAATGAAACTTCAAAGCTTCCGCGCTTTGCGCGGACGGGGGGGGGGGTAAATGAATTCAGACGAGGATTATTTTTCAAGAACGGTACAACGAAACGTCCCTGCAACATATTTGCTGATCTTCTTCTCAATATTTATTTATGGGTCGAGTTACATTATTTGTTGTTCTTTTAGAACAACCATATTTCAGAGAATTCTTTTCACAACAAAAAACTTCTTCATGTTTCAGTCCTTGCGCTATCGTCTCCAGCTCCAGCAGATATTGGGCGTCAGCGTGCACATCGGTACTACCGGCGCAGTATAGCCACTGCTGACGGCCGCATTAGCTGCACTGCGAGCTCTCGTTGTTTGTATCGGTAATACATAGAGATGGGAGAGAAAGCGCCATCTAAGTTCCATTTCATTGGTTTAAGGTTTGAAAATAGGAACTCATTTTGTGTTAAAGTTATATAAGAAAAGATAATCTTTATTTTATAATTCCACGGGGGTGACTTTTAATTTTGCAATCGCCCCCGTGGGCAACCTGACGGGGGCGATTATGGAGCTCACGGGGGCGAATTGCCCATCGCCCCGTGTATTTTGGGCGCTGATAATGAGTAATATGTAACAAACAGGAGCAATTGATAATGTTAGTTTATATTTTGCACGATTGGAGAAATAAAGTATCTTGAATCGTAATCTTGAATCTTGTGCAAGAGTATTGATTTATCTTAATAAGATTTCGTTTGCGATGTGAGCAAAATTAACGCAAATTTCTAAACGAATGTCAATCAATGATTTGTTACCTTCCTTCCATTACCCCCACCTAACAAACAAAAAACAAACAAAAACGGATACACATTAGTATACTTGGGGGAGGGAGGAAGAAAAAATAATGAGTGCAGTTTTCACATTTTAATGAGATTTATTGAATGGAAGAGTAAAATCAACCCAAAATTCTAAACGATTATAAACAAATTTTATAATTCATTGCTTTCCTTTCATTATTCATCACCCTCCCCATCTAAATAATGATAGTAATAATATGATGATGATTATTATAATGATAATAATAAGCCGGAGAAACACTAGCGTACGGGGGGAGGGGGGGGGGGACGGGGCAGAATGCGGATAGGGAGCCAGACTGCACCCATAATGGGTGGCCAGTGAAGAAACAAAAGAGAGGGAGAAGAGAGAGAGAAAGAGAAGAGAGGGAGGAAAAGAGATGAACAGGAGCAAAAGGAAATATATTCTTTGGAGAGGGCTTTATACCAAGTTCAAAGAAAAAAAAATATTTAAAACCTTTCGTAAAACGTGTTTTGCCTCTATGAGTTAAATGACAATGGAATAGCATAGTCTCCAAACAGGAATTCATGAATCAACACATTGGCTTTTAAAGGCAATCAGTTGAATGTCTTTTTGTTTTGTTTTATTCCCTTCTGGTTGTATTTTTGTTTAAAATGTACTGCTCTTGTCTTTTCGTGTCCATGAAACATAAGGTCAAAGATCAAAGATAAGTATGCGACATCCAGATACACTGTAGTGATGAATGAATGAAGAATGATTTTTACTACCGGTATACCACAATTTGATCACAATACAGAGCCTATTGTAGAATTTTTATACGATTCAATAGTAATGGGAATCACAATCAGGTAGCAATTAGATCTGAACCAGTTTGAACTCATAACTCATGTTACAGAGGTTTTTATTTGTGCACTCTGCTTTTAAAGTACTTCTGGTTGTTCTTTCTCAGAATTCCCATGTCCAAGGTATAACGGTAAGGATCATCTTCTGCCCCCAAAATGTGTATTAAAAACACAAAATCTAGTTCTTCATCAAGCTGGAGAAATGCATTAACATGCATGTATTTCTTGTTTAATCTCCAGGCATCAGCTAATCCTAATCCCATGGTTAAAGCAGAGCTTAATCTCCTAGCTCATCTGATGGGTGCAGTAGAGAAGAAAACATCAGGTGGTCCTGGTAAAGAAAATGATTTCAGGATCAGCATGTTCAATACGGATGAAGAGGAAGAATGAGTCGGTTTCTTTTCAAAGTCAATAAGCATTTTCATGGAACAGAAATGGATGGATAGTACATGAATCTGTCATTGATGCCAGTTTTCAGACAACAGTCTGAATTCAGACCATAGTTTAGGCTTTTTTGTGTACAAAATAGCTCATTCTAGGTGATTTTCAGGCCCTCTGATCTAACTGGCATCCCTGAATCTGTGCTAAAACCCTTGAAAAACACAAGGTCGGCATGTTTAATATTCAGCATTGATGGCAAGGGAGAGTAAGTTTATGTCACTTAATACTAATCAACATTTCATAGTGATACATGGATTATGAAAAAATCTATTTCCTTTTTTGTTGTTTTTTGTTTGTGGGGGGGGGGTTGAAATGTTAAAAAGGTTCCTTTAATGGACCAATAAATAATATAATTTTAAACAAATATATACAGTTTGAGTACAATAGAAATTATAAAGGTATATGTGCACGTTATTAAATAATCTAGTGCCTTAAACAAGAAATTAGCTACATGTAATAAAGCACTTCTTAGAAATAAAAAACATGAATTTATTTTTGTTTGTCACAATACATTATCCTGTAAATTGGCATTGTTTGCAGAATTTATTCATTTGTTTAATAATTTGCTGTAAAACTTTTGATTGTGACATTGTGTGTGCCCTTCTTTCTGATTTATTTTTTGTTTTGATTTTCAGGAAGTTTGCAGCTACTCGTCCCCCACCAGACATGTACGATGTCAAGGTCATTAACATAGACATCAAAGGTTTGTACGCCTCACCCTCAAATCTCTGATTTTCAAGGGGAAAAGAATAAATCAATTAATTAATCAATCGGTCAACAAGTAGTCTGGGTGAAATAAAAGTCAGTTTGCCACATTGTTGATATTGCTGGAAATGTGTTACATGCAAGGCTCAAAATACACAGGGGCGGTGGGCGATTCGCCCCCGTCAGAGTGCTCACGGGGGCGATTTCAAAATGAAAAATCACCCCGGTGGAATTATAGAATAAAGATTATCTTTTCTGTTGTAACTTTCACACAATATTGAGTTTCAAGTTTCAAACCTTAAACCAATGAAATAGAACTATGGAAGTTATATTTTAATAGCGTGCAGGATTTCTCGCTCGAATTTTTTGGTGTCTAGAGGCTGCCATATTGTAAAGAAATAAACACTTTTTTGCCGCAAGATTGCAATATTTATCTCCCATCTCCACATCTCTATGGGTATTACAGATACAAACAACGGAAGCTCGCAGTGCACTGCGGCCTTCAGCAGTGGCTATACTAGCTGCGCCGGTAGTATAGAGTGCACGCTGCCGCCCCATATCTGCTGGAGCTAGAGGCAATCGCGCGAGGACCGAAATGTGGAGAAGTTTTACGTTGTGAAAATCATGAATCCTCTGAAATCTGGTGATTCCAAAAGACCAGCAGATAATGAACCTTGACTAGTAAATCAACAGAAAGCTAAAATTAGTAAAATGAAAACCCAAGTTGGCAAGGAGGTGAATGTATACGCGGACTTGGACCCGAAATTTTTGTACAGAGGGAGGAAAATCTGACCATTAGCTGCATGTTATAACTTGTAAAGTTGTTAGAGGGAAATAATGCAGACTATTAATGATAATGATGAAATAGCAAAGAATTTAGGAGTATCATGGGTACCAATTCAATGGAAATTTGTATTAAAAAAGAGCCCCCGTCAGTACTAAAAGAGCCCCTGTGGACAAAAAATTAATTTGAGCCCTGGTTACATGCACTTTCAATTTTTCGAGATAGGAAAGAAGGAAAAGTTACAATGTAAGATCACCTATACAATTTTGGCTTTTTGAAAATTTGACTTTTGGGTTATAAACTTATTGTTAAATGATCCATTTAAAGATGAAGTTGAGTTCTGGTCATGCAATTGCATTGTGAAAGAAACGGTGTGAATCTATCAGAAAGGTTGATCATCTAGCATATAAGTATTGGTGTTTACTGCAAGGTTCTGGAATCATCAAAATGATACAACAATTTGGCCCAGTTTTGGTAATGGGAGAACATCTTTATCACCTATTTATTTGCTATTTGAAATACAGGGACAATTGCAAATCTTGTACACACACGGTTACTATGGAAGCTGCTCCCAAAGTGGAGGATTGCTTGCCTTTTTCGCTCTCTCCAGGGGGGTGTTTCACAAAGACTAAGATTGACTTTAAGTTGGACTTTAACTATGGCAGGCCGTTCATGCCACTGTTTTCTCTCACCATTAAGGCATTGGTCTCTCAAGGGACGTACAAATCATGGTCACAAATCTACAGAATTTACATTTTTAGATATTTTATTATTGAAGGAAAAAATATTATTTAAAGATCATAATGGGGATAGCTACCAGTGGCATGAATGGCCTGCCATAGTTAAGTCCAACTTAAAGTCGATCTTAGTCTTCGTGAAAGACCCCCCAGATCTGCTAATGACTTTGCACATACATGTTCATGGACCCTTCATTCACTGCTAAAGATAGTGTTCTTCTTATCATGTCACTTTTTCCAGATTCAGACGAGCGAGGAGCTGAGTAGAATAATGGGAGACATGGCTATACCCGATGCCTCTGGTCCATCCAGTAAGGGTGATGACCTTTTAGAACTGATGGACAGCGCATCATGAGGTCAAAGGTCACAGTAGTTTTAAGATTATATCTTGATGTATACATTCTGTAACGTGCCATGATGATGATCGATACGTGCGCTATATAAGAATCCAATATTATTATTATTATTATCATATCGTTCTATGAGACTGCTTGTGATATTTGTGCTGCTCCAGCTATCGAGAACTTCAGTCATTTTTATTTAAGTCTCAAGATTCAACAACGTATCTATTTATACATTCATCACAAAGGCTCTAAGAAAATCATTGTTCAGTGCCTGTTTGGCAATTTTTGCTAACTTGCCGTTATGTCACTGGATTCGCGAACTACCGTAGATGCATACAGGAGATATATTTGTTCACGAAACCAGCTGATAAAGCTGTACACCATGTTGCTTCTGTATCGAAAGACACTGCCTAATATTTCTGACTGTCCAAGTGCATGTAGGGTAATTTAGATAGTAAATTGGCATTTCATACAAAAGCATCGTGCACATATGGACATATAATTGATGAACGTAGAATGTATATTGTATACATTACTTGGTAGATGACATGAATTTCATTTTGAATTTAGGAGCGATGTCAATTCTGCATACATGTTTATAAAAAAATCTAGGAGTGGTAATTTGTTTTTCCTTTTTTGTGTGTGAGTGTTTGTTTTCAAGTTGCTGTCACTTTAAAAACACAGTACTAGCAGTTTGTTACAGCTATATAAAAGCTAATTACTTAAGAATTTCTACCACTCTTGCAACCTGTGTGAATTATATGCACTTATATGTAGATGATTGTGAAGTAAGAATAATGTCTGAAGTTCAGAATGCAAAATAATCAAAGAGGTTTTTATTTGAGAGTAGTTTTGTTTTGAAGGTAAATACAATGTCAATCAAGGTCATAGGTCATGAGGATTATATTGACTGTTATAGAGCGAGAAGGGTATTAATATACTGTATTAGAGTTAACGCCTTCTGGCTGTGGAAAGGCGTTATGTATGTTTGTTTGTTTTTGATAGTACAACTAGATGTACTTATACTGAAATGGTCAGTTTGGAGACGGAATGGTCTTATACACACTTGACGTACGCCCATCTGGCTCCATAGATGACATATCGTTGAGCGAGTCATTTTCTCCTCGTTGCTGCTCTCCACCCATGTGAACATCAAGGTCATAAATCTCCTTTTTCTGCAAGGAAAATATATTTATTTACACTGACACTTTAAGATATAATTATTGCACATGCTTTTACACAAACCCTGTATGAAAAATCCATCAATATTCAACAAAGAAAATTGAAATTTATGACAGGTTCAGTACAAAGTAAATGGGAGGGATGCTTAAAATGTGCAAAATGTTCACTTTGTAAACATATGATCAACTCTTACTGATCTGTTTCCTTAATGTTATTATTTTTTTGCATTTATTAAGACCAACTTAGTAGATCACTTTTATAAACTTTGGCTATTTTTGTTTTGTTTTGTTTTTTGTGTTTTTTATTTGTCAAATGCGTTATTTTGGGTGCAACATATTTTTCTTTAAAGATAGTGGAGTGTTTTCCAAGTTTCAAAGTTTCATAACTTTCGTGTGATGTTTTAAATAGTAGTTACCCTATAGAACCGTCCGCTGGGGTTTGTGCATTTACAATGTAGTCTTACGTGAAACAGATATTTCTGTTAATGTTTTGTTACTTTTCTGCCTGTATTAATAGACTTTCAACTATTCATTTATAAATATATCTGCTGAAGGGAATGTAAAAGAGACAATATTTATATTTTCCCCAGGTCTAGATTACTTTAAATTGTAACTGTGTGTCCTCTGAAATTGAAGTAGATTTAATTTGCTCATTTATTTTCATTGCATTTCCACTCTGATATGATGATTATATTTCTCAATTAAAAGCGATCCAAAGATAGCAATTTGCACCAAACAGATTTATGTTCTTTCACTTTAGTTGGATTGAGTGATGAACAAAATAATTGCGGGATACATAGTTTAACTTAGTCATGAAACTTTGTTTTAACATCATAATAATCGTATATGCATTTTAAGGTTGTGTTTCCTTTTATGACATTCTAAAAAGTACTGTTTGATAAGAATGCTTACATGTAGCTTCAAATTGCCGTTGCCGTTGTACACCAATATTCACCAATGGACCAAAAATGAATTTCATTTCATGGAACAATATTGTTGAAAATATTATTATGTTTAGCATCATATCAGTTATTCAGGTAATAACTTAAATTATATACCTCACTTAAGAAATCCAGCCATCTGATTGGTCGAATTGCATTCATAAACTTCAACTGTTCCTGTAAAATTCTCGGTAACCATGCTTAAAACATTTCAATATTTTTAATAACCATGGTTATTAAAAATAGTTGGTCAGCCTCCATGGTTACCCCATAGGTTTACATGTTAAAAAATGGTTTGAGCGATGGAGGATGCCGTATGTGTGCGAAGGATTGGTCGGTAATTTCAATACAATTGAATCTCGATCGATCTTACCGACAATTTTATCTTGCATTGTTGACATGAAGACGAAAATAAACTTCCAAAAACAAAAAAACAACATCTGCCGATAGATCTTGATCTAAGTTCGTGCCAATATGCATTGCAAAAGTAAAAGAAGAGTCCGTATATGGAGCTTTTGCGAAGCATTTATCAAACGCGAAGCCGGTTTCAATCCATTTTAATGTATATATTGGAGAAAACTGCCAGGCATGTTAACGGCGGGCCATAGCCGAGTGGTCTAAGCGTTGGTTTTCGGTTCACCTCTTCTTGTACGCAAGAGTTCGAATCCCGTCTTCGACAAAAATTATAAATATTTTTAATTTTTAATTTTTTAGTCTATTTTTTTTCGGCATATAAAAGTATTAATGACTGCTTTAATATTCGAGAAATAGTTGTTTTCATACGCTCTCGGGAAGGTTACAATTGGGCTATTCCCCTCGGCAAGCCTCGGGGAATAGCACAATTCTAACCTTCCCTTGAGCGTAATAAAACAACTATTTCTCTCAAAGCAGTCATTAATACTATACTATATATTTTATACAGGTGTTTGAAGTATATATACATTCAACATTCCAAAATAGTGTATTCCTGCCTCTGTCTCTTGTATCAACGGTTGTTCTACTGAGGCTACTGCTGGCTCCCGATCCCACTCTCTCTCTCTGCCTCTGAGTAATCTCTCTCTCTCTCTTTCTTTCCCCCTTCTCTCCCTCTCCCTCTCTCTCTCCCTTATGGAAAACAGAATTAAATAAACGGTCATTACGCTCCCAGAGAGATTAACCTACGAATTTTACAAAGCGAAGAATTATAATCCATTTAGTATTGACCGGTGAACATGATAACAAATTCTAAAGGAAGAAAAGAAAGCTAATCTCTTAAAAACTTCCTAGATACTTGCTTGAATTGCTTACCAAGTCGATTTCTCGCACTTTGATGTTTGTTTGTTGTATTAAAAGCCTACTTCGTCCAGGTGTACACTTGCATAAATTTATCTTTTATTGTAGGTATCGGCAGTGATCGATCGTAATGATTGATCGTCTGCTCTTCTGGGAAGAGCAGACGATATTCGATATGACCTTCGTCGAGTGAAGACACACCTCGCGCAAGCGGCTCGCCCACAATTCACCCACGTGTATTTTGAACAAGGAACATTTCACCGTAAGAAACTCATGCCAGCCAACCGAGACACCAGAAATATGGCTTCTGGTGGCGGCAAGCGACCCCGCCCTTCAACGACTCCGACTAGCCCCGTCTCTTCTGAGGTTTCAAGCCTTATACCAGTCATCCAGCAAATGAATGACGAGCAAACCAGGAAACTTCAAGAAAAATTTGGAACAAGTTTTGCGGAACTGGAAAGGAATATAATGAATGAAGTGAAACAAATTCGCGAACAGTTTGCAGAGATAGTGAACACCGTTGAATACAACTCTAAAGATATCGCGGACCTGGAAAAAGGAAATGAAGAAAATGAAGGAAGAAATTAATACTACTGAGAAAGAGTATAAGGAAGAACTGGACAGAGTTGAAACGTATGCAGCAAGAGAGAATTTGGTCTTCCTCAACATACCAGAAAAGATACAAAAGGAAGGAGAGAGGGAAAACGTTGAAAAAGTCATGAAAGAATTTATGATTACGAAACTACAATTTACGGAACACGAAGTAGATAAGATTGAGTATCAGCGAATACATCGTGTTCGGAACGGACCCTCATCATTGCCAAAGCCAATAAAAGCCCGTTACCTTCGCTATAAAGACAAGGTAGAGATTCAACGAAGAGCTAAACTATTAATTGAAAGGAACGAAGATATTCATCACGGACGACCTTTCGAAAAGGGTGAGATCGATCCGACGGAGCCAAATTGCAGCGTTAAAGACAGCGAGGAATGCGGGGAAACTCGCTTATTTTTCAAGAACAGAGCCAACAAAGCTTTATATTGACCATGTGTGGATGCCGATGAAAGACCAGCCACGGTTTGTGGACGAATTCGAGAAAAATGAGGTAACACAGGGGACCCGGGACCAATCCACCCCGAAGAAGACTACAGGAGAGATGCACAGGAAAGGAATGCCCGTGGCAGGAGGACCGAAGTCACTAGCGATGGAGACGGATATACAGGGGTCATCAGTAGGAGAGAAGTAGGGCGTCAGTAGGAGAAAATGAGATTGTGATAATTATGTCGTTATGATCATCAGGAGCAGAAGAAACCAATATTCTAAAAGCTACAAGATATAATTTAAAAATGTTTATTATGGCAACATACTCTTTGTGGTTGAGAAACGATGATATTGCACCGACAAGATTTGGATATTATTATAAGGGAAGAGAAGGAGAGGAGAAAGGAGAAATGAAAGCAACTACCAGTATGGGAAGAAAATAAGAAACCATCAGCACAAGTTGTTGGAACGACTAGCTGACCTAAGTACATTGGAAATCTATCCAGATCGCCTTCATTGACAATAAAGACACAACCAATAATGATGTCTACGAAAGTCTACGAAAGCTCTTACTGCTTCGTCGGACTGGCGTGGTGTTGCGTAGTGTTGCGTAGACTTGCATACTTTCTGCGTATAGTTTCTACACCGAAGGTACGCGAACAAAATCAAACGTCTATCTTGCGTGCCCATTTACGTCCCTCCGCGTACTGTTACGTAGGCCGGTGTAGGGTAGCGTACGCTCGGCGTAGTTGGTACGCAACACTATGCAACTTTACGCAACTCTACACGAGAGAAAGAGTAGGGGGATAAGTTATGCAAGAAGTAAAAAATGCGGCATTCTCTGTTCTCTATCATTCTTTCAAAATATTTGAAGGTAGATCTATTGTAGATGAGGAACGCTTCTGTTTGGTTTGTTTTTGTTTAACAGGCCCTTTTATGCCATTTGTCCATTTGCAGGAGCTACGGCTAGATTAGTCTTTAAACTGATTTGTCTGATAGATTAAACTGTTTGTCCACTATAGTCAACTTACGGAACAAACACTGGCTTGCCACATTTGACTTTTCACACATGCAACATGTAAAGGCCATATGCACTCCAAACAACGTAGCAGTCTAGAATTTCATTCAGCAGCGAATAAGGAGTTTATTAAAGTGCAACCATATGCATATATGTGCAGTAGACATTTCTTCTACATATGTGTTTATGTATGCAGGGCCCTAAAGGATAAGTGTTAAAATAATGATAGTAATAATAATAATATTAATTAAAGGTTTTTGTATAGCGCAATATACATAGGCATATAAAGTAGATGTATGAATGAGTAGAAACAATGAAAAATAGAATAAAACTTGTAGATGGAATGTTTTACCAGCATAGTGTCAATATGATTGGATATGACTGATTTATATTTTTTTAGTGAGAAGGGACTACTTCATGACCCTGAGATGTGATTCTTTGAGGAAGTCTTAGGGTGCTTGATAAAGGTGAAAGAGATTGATGTCTTAGAGAGACTTCATGAACTGCAGCAGTTACAACACCCGCTGCCGACGGGGAGAAAGCATGGTAAGTCGACTTTCATGGCCAGAATGCAAATGAGTGGTTCCGTGCAAAATGTCCCTCACGTCACATCTTTTTTCATCCCAAATTGAAAATTCTTTTGATACGACCATTGAATAATGGTACTTTCTCATATCACTACCATTAGTCATAGTATTAATGCACATACAGTCAAACCTGTATAGAAAGACCGCTGAAATGTGTCTGATACAGCATATGACATTAATCCGTATACAGTCAATTTTGTATGCCAAATCAGACACATTACAGCGGTCGTTCTATACAGGCTCGACTGTATATGGATTAATGTCATAATCCGTGTCAGACACATTACAGCCGTCTTTCTAGGCAGGCTCGATTATATATGGATGAATGTCATATGCCGTTTCGGACACATTACAGCGGTCGTTCTATACAGGCTCGACTATATATGGATGAATGTCATATGCCGTATTACATCAGTCTTTCTATACAGGTTTTACTGTATATGGAATAATGTCATATTCAGAGCGCAAGGAGTGTCAAGTCTGACAGACATCAGCGCTTTACAAGAACCCACTATTATAATGTAATCACGTTTATTTTTGCTTTCCCCCTGATTACCTTTTTTGGCATCAGAGTGCTGATGCAAATGCAGAAAGCTACCTCAAAAAGGGACAGCCCTACACTCATCTGACAACAGAGGGCAGGCTTTGCAAGTTAGGACAAAGAGATTCGATCATACACAGTATGTCCTCCGTAGGAGGACTAGAGGGCCAACTAAAATCGTGACCTTTGACATTCCATAGGTTTTGCATTGGATGCATTATGGGGGTTTTGTCCGATTTGAACGACGGTTTTGGAGGGTCAATGAATATTCATGAGCAATGACGTAACAAATACGCCAACTACTGTTTGTTGATTGGCCATCGACAAAATGTTTTATGTATTAGGTCATGCATAAAACATTTTTTGCATTCCCAGAATTCCCTACGATCATGAGCACGAAAATTATTTAATTACGAACAATGAAACATTTTTCTTTTAAGTGAATTTCTATTATAATAGAAGTTTGTCAAGTACATCTCAGTGAAGCAGAAAATCTTCAGGCGAACATTGACATCGAAGTGATACCCTATGATATCAAGAAAAGTAAGTAAAGATCCATTTTGTGTGAAGGTCTCTGAAATGATTGTGATGTGTTCGTCATTGCAGTGAGGGGCTCTCCGCATTGTCACAACGTATTACCCGGTTAACCCCCTACCCCATCCTCTTTTCTTTCTTCTGACCAAAGAATCAACTGATTGAATGAACACTAATATAAGTCATCGACGGTAATATTTTTAGAAACAATCAGGATTTTACCGTAGGTAATTTCATTAGAGCACATCTCATAATTTTAAGTTCAGTTCATAGCTTGATTACCGATAGTAATCGGTCGTAGATGTGGACCTGTTGTAGACTGCGCAAATGGCTCATTGCTAGTCCGAGCCGACGAGATCTCGTCGAGCGGTTTATGATTTTCAATTCGCCGGTGCTAGCCGGCTGTAACACTCCACCAAGAAGCGACTGCGTTTCCTGAGCTGGCGCGGCTATAACTTTACAGTGTGTTACTGTAAAGCCTAGACCTCTAGGCTAGTGACATAGCATAGTCTAGCCCGAATTTTTCTGTCTCTTTCGTTCGTTAGCCTCTGATTTGGGTAGGGTCGGCTCCTCTCTTTAGCCGACCCTACCCAAATCAGAGGCTAACGAACGAAAGAGACAGAAAAATTCGGGCTAAGGCTAAGCAGAGCCTAGGCTAGGCTAGGTCTACCGTCTAGTCTAGATCTAGCACTTAACTAAGTATAATTATAAACAGCATTTAACCCCGCATCTACTAGATCTAGGCCTAGATCTAGGGCTAGATTCTAGGCCTAGACTCTAGGCCTAATGCATTCTAATAAAAAAAAAAGACTAAATAAATGCCTGGTTTAGGTGGGTAAATGTGGAAGTTATGGAGGGGGGGGGGGTGCACAATCATTCTGTGCCCCCTTATTCAGATGTGGCATAGGGACGGGTCTAGATCTAGGTCTAAAGCCCCCTAGTAGGGTCTAAAAATGGGCAATTAGATCTAGATCTATAGCTTGTGTTATGCCATAGCCTAGCAAAAACTTCCATAGCCATGGGTCTAGGCTCGTTTTGCTCCACTACTAGACTAGTCCTGCGCATGTGTCATTATTGTGATCCAGGTCCAGATTCAGCTTAGACTAGTTTGAATGTAGATCTAGGCTAGATCTACCAACAACAACAAAAACAAAACAAAAAAGGTATCTCCTCCCCCCCCCCCCCCCCCCCCCCCACTTCCCCTGATTTCGCTCTTAGTTATGTCATTGTGCCTTGTTTGAAATAATTGGTTTATTTTCAGGATTTTATGCCACCCCTTTTATGTTGGTGAGAATTCTGGATCAAACCCTACATATGACATGGATATTTCTTTCTCTAAAGGACATGAACAAAGTTATAAACTGATAACTAATGCATGCATTTGGTATTAGCAGGAAACTTACTAAGTTTCTGTTTTCTTTTAATTGTAGATCCTATGGAACAAAGAAGCAGATAATGATCACAGAAGTGCAACAAAGAGCACCAGGACCTGATCATCAAATGTTATGGTGTAGATTTCATCAGGAACAAGACACCTAAGTTGAACTCTGGCAAGGTATGTTTGTATGAAGTTCGAAAATATTCAGGCTGTATAATCTAAGCCCATGCGAACACCGCACTCGACTTGGACTATACACAAAGATTTGGGGAACTGTCATCTTGTGTTGCATTATATCTTGTAATTCTCATTTATTTTCTAGCTGTATTATTTAGGTGACAAACTATGGTGTTGCTACAGTTTATTTCTCTCAGCATATTAAAAGACACACTCAAAGGCATTTTTCCTAAATATTACATTATATCTAACAAACTTTTGTTCACAAAAGTCTAGCAAATAATAACTTAAAATAAATTGGAAATTACTTTTAAAATAATTGGAAATACATCTAAACCTTTACTCTTCTCTTTAAAAAAGGCCCTATTACTCAGATAGACATACGTTTATCATTTTTTAGTAAAATTAAAATGCAAGACCTAAAAAAAGTGGGGAGGTACTATTTTTGAAAATCCAATATAATGCAGCAGTTTTAATCTTATTTGATTTCTCTCTTTTTGTTTTGATTATTCAGGTTGTCCAGAAGGTTTGATACCCAGGCTTCTTTTGTACAAGTCCCTAGTCCACCCTCATCTTGAGAACTGTTCCGGTGTCTGGGATCCCTACAACATCTCAGATGTCCAGGACGCTTCTTCACAATGGGGACCACAAGAGAAGCAACAGTTTGACTGAGATGATCAGCACCTTTTAGTTGCCTACTATATCTACAACTACAAGGCACTCTGCAAGAAGACTGGGAATGGTGCGCAAGATAGTCAATGGTCTCTCCGCTCTTCCTTGAAAATTTTCCCACTGCACTACTTATAGCTATTTGCGCCCTCTATATAGCAAACAATGCCTAATCTGTGCCTGTTGGTCCCCCATGATCCTCTTTTTCTTATATTAATTGAGAGCTGATTTGATGAGATAACCACCTGTCAGTGACCTTGCAGGGTGGTCTTATCCCCCTGGCCAAACTAGTACAGACGGGCTTTAACAAATCACGAGCAGGAAGTACCATGACATGACCCTCCAGTTGCACCAAGCCAGAAGCGACATAGGTAGACAAGTTTGCATTTGCCCAACACTCTATCCCAAAGTTAATGGAACTGACTTCCAGCAAATATAGTGCATGCTGACAGTCCAGAGAACTGCCAGGGACTACTTCTGAGGCATCTACTCTCCTTATCCCACTTAGAAACCATCTGTCTTCCTCACACCACTTGTAATCTTTAGTATTAGTTCATCCTCGTGATAGGCTACAACGCCTTTTGAAGATTACCAGAAGAAGAAGAAGAAGATATATCGAGGATCATGAAAGTAATCATTTGTTCTTTTAAATGCGTGTACATGTAACATTTTTTTTTGATATTTAATCTTAAGTCAAGTTCTGACAACAATATGAGGGATATGCTGAACTGGATAGTAAATTGAAGGGGGGGGGGGATAAAGTGATGTAGTTCAATAGTAAGACTGTATTAATATAATTAATATTAATAATAATAACAATATTAAAAATAGTAACAAAAATGACAATGATCATGATAATAGCAGTAATAATAATGATAATACAGGTAGTAGTAAAAACAATAATAATGTCCAATGTTAGATAAAGTACTCATAAAACTCAGTATATACCTGTGCTTTACATAATAAAATAGCATGTTGGTATTATTGAATATTTTTTTCTTCAAAATCTACAGTAAATTTTTACAACTGAAAGATTTGAATTCAAGAGACAGCATCCCCCCATCCATTTTTCATCCTTTTGTTAATGTCATGTTGGATTTAAAAAGACTTTGTAGAAACAAAATATGTTGATAAATGAGTTCATAAATGTTAATAAATCAGTTAATACTGCTGAATTCTGTTCTTTTCATTTTCTTATTTTGTGAAATATATGTGATGATGCTGGTGATTATGATGATGTAGGCACTCTGTAATGATAATGCTGTATGACTGAGGTGAGATGGGGGCTGATGCAGTCTTGTGTAGAATTGAGTATGGTGTTCGACCTTTTAATTTTGTTTGTTTTTATCTTGAATCAGCGAGATAGATTTAACCATCTTTCCTAATGAGAGAGAAAGCGGAAATGTAACAAGAGAGTGGGCAAGACTAATGAATAAATGCAGTATAAAAAATGGTTTACAATAAAGATGAGGGGGGGGGGGGGTTAAATAAAGAATAAGTCGATGCCGAAATGATGAAAGCATAGGTAATTGGGGTAATAGAGCCTATGGAAATGTCACTATTAGAAGGGGTCCCTGTATTGAAAATGTTACTGTTGGGGGGGGGGGGATTTAAAAAAAAAATCAGTGGCGACGAATGCAAGAATGAAAAGAACGAGACAAAATTGAAATTTCATTGGGGATGGGGCACAATATGAAGATCATTGAAGTCGAGGTGAGAATAATTCGTGAATTGGACACTAAAAATATGAAAATATCACTTGTTAAGTGGGCTAAATGATCAGTGCAATTTGTCTGATTTAAAAAATATTTAAGTTAATAAACGAACAAAAAAAAGAGGTAAAAAATGAATTGAGTGAAATGGGGTCATTATTTTTGCCTTTTAACTGAACTGAATTTTTTTAAATGTACTTTCCATCCTGGTGACAGTGAAGTTTGTGGCCCCAACTAAGTCAACCATTTAAAAGTCTCCCCCCCTCCCCCCCCCCCCCTCCCCCCCCCCCCCTCCCCACACACCTCCCCATCTCTGACCTTTGTTCTACATTTATCCGGCCCAATTATGATTCTGTCGATATAGTAACGCATGCGCATTGTCTTTTTTTCATTGCGATAATATGCTAATAAGTGGAAAAGAGCTCATGAATATTCAAAATTTTAATTTAAATATTTTGCGCGCTGCGCGCAGTCCAAAATCCCCATTTCGCTGGTGCACTAAAAATTTGTCGTCTTCATAGGCTAATACACGATAAATGGAAGCAGTGTGCACTTTTGACCCTCCAAAATCTCCCCATGGCTAGACGGATGCAGAAGCGGAGTTGCACCCCCCTGAGTTAGGACACTTCTCGCCCATCCGTTGTAAAGCCGGACAACATAAAGTAGCACCGATCAGTGTCATCATCAAAAAGGTAACTTCTATACTTGTTCCTTTGGATATGATAGGCATAGGGATGTTATATTTGCCAACTAAAAAAATTGCGTAGGTCACTTCCCTTCCCCTTCCATTCAACTTTCTAACGGACAATTTGTACTACATGTAGGCCCTATATATTTCTTTTTAAAATTTTGTTGAAATTTGTTTAAAACATGACAATTTTTTAAATATTTTGTTAGTTACTTTGTTTGCAGAATTTTCTTGATGCTTATCGGTAAATTGATGAGGTGTGAGGACCTGTATTTATAGTGCTCTGATATGTGCCCCAGCAACAATTGCTTTATTTCATCAAAAGGCGAAAGAGGGTCATGTTTGCAAGTAGATTTTGGGTTAGGTTTAGAGTTGGAATTAGATTTAAGTACCGTGCTAGGCTTGGTCCTGGGTTGAAGTTATGAACTTATTTTGCGGTAGTGCTGTAAGTCAGGCGCCATGTTTAGGTTCTGTTCGGCAGAGTTAGGCAATGTTTTACACAAACTTGGTTCGGTCCGGGGTTCGGTAATATAATAGTAAGCAGTGTTATAGCTATGGTGCGATAGTCGGCACTGGGTAGCCAGGCCGGGCGGGCCGGCCAGCACGGAGCTCATTCTGCCCACCACTCCTGGTGAAAAACAATGCTTCTGATCAGCACGAATTTCACATAAATAAACTGCTTTAAAGGGAAAGTCCACCCCCAAAATAAGTTTGTTTCGATAGAGGCAGAATAATAAGAAAATCAGGTGAGTGAAAGTTTGAGCAAATTCTGAATGAAAATAAGAAAGTTATGAATTATTGAAGTTGTGATCAATCAAATACAAATTGGCAACTCTGTGACTTATTATACGAGCTCTCCATTTGCTTTGTGCATAATATTCCATAAAATCATGTTTTCTTCGTTATTGATGACGGAATATATATTTGTTCCTTGCAGGGGGAGTATAGAAACATATTTGCAATTATTATATTTAGGGTGCATGTATGGTTGAAATTTTTCTTGAGGGAAAATGAAAATTTTAGATTTTTTTAGTACTGAGCAAATGGAAGTTGAGCTCGCATGATACGTCATAGAGTTGCCAATTTGTGTTTGATTGATCACAACTTCAAAAATCCTAACTTCCTTATTTTTGATCGGAATTTGCTCAAACTTTCACTGACTTGTTTCTCTCATTTTTCTACTCCTATTAAAACTAACTTAATTTCAGGGTGGACTTCCCCTTTAAAGAAAAGTAGTACTTACATTCATATTTCCGTCTTTAGTTAAGTTTTATTTGCAATTTTACAAGATTCATTTTTTCAATTTGAAAATAAATGATATTTATAAAATGTTTGCCGGGATGGTTGTTGTCTAATGTTACAATTCATGGAAGCTGCCATAGGCCCAGGCTCGTTCGTTTTCTGTTCTTTGAAATGTTTATTTTTTAATAAGGTAAATAACAAAGTTCCTAATTTTCCTGGATAAATAAATAAAAATCTAGTTTGTGGAGGATATGTATGTAGACCGCGGAGCATGTGTCGTACAAGCGTTTTCCTTTTCTTACTCATCTATGCTTCTTAGGTCCGGTGCTATCCCAGTCTCACCGCTACTCTCCAGATGCTTCATTCTAAGAGTCAACCGTTCCTCGAAGGCATCATCTCAAGCTGTCTTTGGTACAGGCAGATCAAAGAAGAAAAGCTACTTGTCTGTTCTACATACCTCTCAGGTACTGCCCACTCTCCACTTCTTAATTCTTCTTCTGGTGATCTTCAAAGGGCTATTCAGCCTATCACAATATTTTAAAACTAAAGATTGCATGAGGTATGAGGAAGAAAAAAGTAGTTTAATGGGATCAGGGCATTAGATGCCTCAGGAGTAGTCCTTGGAAGTTCTCTGGACTGTCAGGGTGCGCTAAATTTACTGGTAGGCAGTCCCATTGATTGGTCTGTTGCCAGATTTCAGACCCTGTCACCCCTCTGTTTCAGGCCTTTGCAGGTTTTTATTGTACAGAATATATGGGGATACTTTATTTCTGGGTCACTTTCCAAGCTGTAGGGGTGAAACCAACTAGTATCGCTGCCTTTGGCTAGTTTTTAGCTCATCCGGCCCGAAGGGCCCAATAAGCTTATGCCATGGCGTGTTGTCCATCCGTCCACAGTTTTCAAAATGCTTTTTCTTCGTTATTTTTCAACCGATTTTGATTCTGATTGTTTCATATGATAGGGCTAGGAGGGGGATTTATAACTTCTACACAGAATCGTGAAATTTTATTATCTATGCTAATTTATGCAAATTTATTCGAAATCACAAAAAATGCTTCTTCTCCTTCATTTCTTGACCGATTTTGATTTGGTTTGCTGTATCTGGTAGAGCTAAGTTTGGTACACTAAACTTCTACACAGAATTTTGAAATTGTTCTCCATTAATTAATTATGGTAATTTATGCAAATTTATTCCAAAAGTAACAAAAATTGCTTCTCCCTCATTTCTTGATTGGTTTTGATTTTGTTTGCCTTATCTGGTAGAGCTAAATTTGGAACACTAAACTTCTACACAGAATTTTGAGATTTTGCTCCATTGATTAATTATGGTAATATATGCAAATTTATTCCAAAAATAGTTTAAAAATCACAAAAAATGCTTCTTCTCCTTCATATTTCCACCGATTTTGATTTGGTTTGCTTTATCTAGTAGAGCTAAATTTGGTTTACCAAAATTCTACACAGAATTTTGAGATTTTGCTCCATTGATTAATTATGGTAATATATGCAAATTTATTCCAAAAATAGTTTAAAAATCACAAAAAATGCTTCTTCTCCTTCATATTTCCACCGATTTTGATTTGGTTTGCTTAATCTGGTAGAGCTAAATTTGGTTTACTAAAATTCTACACAGAAATTTGAGATTTTGCTCCATTGATTAATTATGGTAATATATGCAAATTTATTCCAAAAATAGTTTAAAAATCACAAAAAATGCTTCTTCTCCTTCATATTTCCACCGATTTTGATTTGGTTTGCTTTATCTGGTAGAGCTAAATTTGGTTTACTAAAATTCTACACAGAATTTTGAGATTTTGCTCCATTGATTAATTATGGTAATTTATTCAAATTTATTCCAAGAAATAACAAAAAATGCTTCTTCACCTTCATTTCATTTTTAAAGTTTTGTGCAAAATATTAAGATGATAAAAAGAGGAGAAAAGAGAGGTTAAAAATTAAATGTTCAGAACGCATTTTGTTTTCAGCAAAGTTCAAAAGTGTACCACATAAAATTTTACGATATTTGTTGTTGCGAGATGCGGATGAGCGCTACGACGTTCTGGTTCATAAAGAAATCCAGGTTTGTCTGTATAATCCACTGATTTATGGAATGCAAAATGCTAGATTTAGGTGTCATGACTCACCACTGCACTCTGATGAATTATTTATTCATGTTTAATTAATTAAATCTCATCTCATCGGTTCTTCTAATTCTTCCAGAAAAGAGTCTGTCGTCCTTATTGGACTATAGACGAGACACTCTTGAGAAGTACTGGATTGAAGCATGCGAAGCTGCAGTTACGCTTCATGAGTCTGGAATACTCTACCTCAATTGGAAAGGTAATTCATCTGCTTCATTTGGGACTTAACTCCGTTTCGTTGACAATCAGCCATGCATCAAGTCTTTCATCTACTTTGTGCATCTGATGGCTGATCATTACTGAAACGGAGTTCAGTCTTTTGTCAACTCTTGTTTGTTGATACGGCAGGCAGCCAGTGAAAATGAATTTGTTTAATCAAATTATGGAAATGCAAGCATTACTTTATACCAACAGCACTTTGTTATTCCTAGCTCATTTTTCCTGATTGAGGTGTCATAATTATGAAAGGGCAGAAAATGAGCTTTCTAGAAATGTGATTTTCTCTTTGAAATTCCGATACCGCCCGCCAAATGACTTTTTGATACCCTCTCTTCAAATTGTTTTTAATCACTCATGTATGAAATTTGCATCATTTGAGTTGCATCATCTAAGCCTTACAAATATGTGTCATTTATTAATTATAATTGTGATTATGTTATGATAAACATTGATAATTCTCGGTATTGTTTTTTCTGGGACCCACTGTTTTGGGGAAATTTCCAATTTGGTTGCCCAAAAGCATAGCAATTTTGTTGCGGCATATGGTACCCGATTGTTAAGATGGTAAAACTGTATGAATACAACATTACACAAAATATGTGTAATACTCTAGTAAGTTTATAACGTCATGAGAATATGTTGGGGGCTGTAAAAATATCCCATATTATAATTAATATTGTTATCATTATTATATGTATATTTTTAATTGTTATTATTATTATTGATATTATTAGTAGTATTGATGTTATAATTACTATTATGTTTTTTCTCATAGTGGATCATTTAGTGGTGACTGATCAAGATCGTGTGAAGCTGTGCAACTTTGACTACGCCGTCGATATCCGTTCCTCCCGTCGGGGGCTGAGAGGATCATGCTCTGAGGAGTGGAGAGGAACGGAGGTTCCGGATCACGTGAAAACTGGGCTGGATCCAAGGATAGCTCCCCCAGAGGTAAGAGCAGGGTTGACTTTCACTGACTCAATGGCTACTGAATTCTATCTTTCCTGCAGATTTGATACAGGGATCACTTGTTTCCAGTAGGCAAAGTGAAGTTTAGCTGGATAGATACAATCACAAGTTATCATTCGTAACAGAATGTGGCTTACATGACTGTATTATCATGTAGAAGTCATTGTTTATAAGTTATTACTCCATTTTGTAGAGGTTAGATGAAAGAGGACTGTTGCCCAAGTCAGATACAAATGTGTATGTACCTAGGGCATTGGATGCATATTACATGTACTGTACAATGATGGATGACTTTGATTCTCAAGTGATACGTGGAAATGACTTTAAAGACGCATAGTTAATTGATCAATTCCTCCTTTTCTTGCTTGATGTAGGTGCTAAATGGGGATGGACTGATGCCGGAGTCAGATACCTGGGGTCTTGGATGCCTATTGTATCAGCTTTACAATGGTGGATGCCTCCCATATCCTGATCTCAGGCACTTGATTGATGATGCAATTAGGGAGAAAGTAAGATTTAGTCTGTCATTATTATTTTATTTCTGAACACCTTTACCTGAATTCACAAAAAGAAGGTTTGATTTTACCCCTGGTCTGAAACATGATTATAGTTTTTATTCATCGATCATAGATAGGAACCTTGAACTGCCATATTGTTTGGAGTATATGTTATATTATTATATATTGTAAAGGTGTCATGGTCCTGTGGATATGCCCTTGGACTATGAATCACTCGGTTCATGGTTCAAGGCCCTCCGCGACACTAATGTCCTTTGGCAAGATATAAGTCCATACTTGCCATTCTCCACCCAGATGCTAAACAGGTACTATATAAACTATATTAATTAACCGTATCAGACATCTGAGCAGGGCAATTTTTAAATGTTATTGCCCTCAAGGTTTGATGGATAAGCCAACAAAACTACAGGCGAAAAAAATATTATTGACCGCTCAGAAAAGTCAATTGGATTTTGTGTGTAATTTGCCGGTCAATACGGTTATACAGTAAACCAATGAACAAATATTGTTGCCCGATCTGAAAAGTCAACGGGATTTTGTGTGTAATTTGCCGGTCAATACGGTTATACAGTAAACCAATGAACAAATATTATTGCTTGATCTGAAAAGTCAATGGCAAAATTCGTGTTAAACTAGTGAGCAATAATATAGAGCCAGTCGTAATTTACATAGCTCATCAGCTACTGTAATTTACATCGCGCATCGCGTATAAGAAAATGCGCACTTTGCGGCGCGAACTCTATTGTGATGTAACAATCACACCCTAGGCACACTGTTTGCAGTGTATCGAAAATTTGTCAAACTCTGGATGCACAGTGCTGGTTTGACGATGTTTTTGCAACTTCTAATGTTAGGAAACCCTGTGCAGTGTAGGCTACATAATTTAAGAGTATAAGATAGTATGAGTTTCTAGTTTGCTCTAGATGTCTGATGTGGTTAATAGTAGTAATATTGACTGCCTACCGGTAATTCAGGGCAGTATGTCGTATTGCCCAGAAGGCAGTCAATATTACTTCAATATATACTGATGTGTGTTCCACTGGTCAATCAGAGCCAGTAAAGAGTTAAACCTCTAATCTGGACTAAAATAATGTAAGTAAGCGTGTATAAAACACTTGGCAAGATACCAAGCCCTCTGCCAAGAATCAATGTATATGTAAGCATCTCATTTCCAGCCCCTTAGACATGAAGACACACATGTGTTACGCTTATGGGGGTTTAAGCCATGTGTTGACTGAAATACAACTTTTTGTTGAATTCAGGCCATACAGTGTCAATTATTTTCCTCAAATTTGTTTACATTTATGTATGAAGAATTACATTTTGCTGAATCCATTCCTATTCCTGTTTCTATTCCTGTATCGATCCTATCCCTATTCCTATTCCCATTCTGACTTAAGTTTAAACTGAGACTCTCCTTTAAAAACAATTTTTTTTTGTTTCCCCACCTAGAGGTTGACTGAAAAACATTCCAAGCTTGTCCCTGCTTCACCAAAGATCCAGTTGCTGTCTGAGATGTGCTGGAAGAAAGATCAGATGGAGAGGAAGTCACCAGCAGAGTTGGTAACATCGTTAAATGTGTACAAGAAGAAAATGGCAGAAACGAGGTACAGATCACATAAAACTGCTCAGCAGGAACAGTGATTTTTGATGTGTTTATGGAGATGGAAAAGAAACTTGAAAACAGTTCAGTTTCGCTGTCATAAAACTTGATATCAATGAGAAGTTACATTGGCTATTATGCACTGAAGTCGTTGTATTTGATTGGCTGTGAGCAAGTTTTGAAACAAAATAAAAATGGGCACTTGTTATTGATAAGAAAGTTTGATTAAATAGAGCCTTGGAGTGTGGGGAATACTTCTGCTTGCTGGAAGATATTCTTGATAAAAGTCTTGAAGTTACTTCAGTGACTAATGGAAGGCCAGGGACCAGTTTCACACAGCCTTTTTTCAATGACAAATGACAAAAATCAGTGACAAACCTGCTGATAACCAATCAGAAGCAAGGATTTCATTTGTGACTGATGACAAGTTTTGTGAAATGGGGCCCTGAAGTTATGTATAAATTACTGTAATTATGTGAGTTAAGTTTTGATATTAGTGATGTCTTTGGTGCCCATATTATTTCACAGTGACATTTTGCTACTGTTTGGTAAATTTTACCTGAATCCATTTTTATATAGATATCATAAGTGATTCATCTCTCAAAGTCTTGCTTTTTGTATAGGCTTTTGTAGATATAAGAAATATCATCTTACATCTCAGTAATAATTATATAATGATTACTGCCAAATTTAGCAGTATTACACATTCTGTATATTTTCTTAGCATGAAATAGTCTCCATTTCTTTTGTAATATTGTAAAGACAGTTAAATACTTGCCCTGAAACTATACATTTTTTATAAAATAAAAAAAACAAAACAAGACCTGCTTACATGTTTTTCAGTCGATTTTGATCTGGTACAATAAAACGTGTTAAGGTTTATATGCAGAAATGTATTTTTGCTGTCATATAGACTACAATATGTACATTACCTGGTGTTCCTAATTGGACGTTCTCCAATGAATTATTGCATTGAAAATCATTCGATGCCAGATGGCACTTGTGCATATAGGGTGAAATGATAGCATAGTGTTTTTGTGACATGAAATTTAGAAGAAAAATTCTAGAAGATATATTCCTTCTACAACATCATTTTTAATATACTGGAAATATATAAATGATATTTGTATCATAGAATAAGTTTGATGGGTGTGAATACGACATGCATTCCTATTTATTCAATGCACAATTTAATGTAAGATATGTAATGTACATGTAGATACTATTTTGATACAAAGTGAGATAAAACTGTACCAATTAATTCATCATTGGATGGTTTACTTTGCAATTACACAGAAATGTACATCTTAGGGATGTATATGATTTCTCATAGAATGGAATACAGATATTACAGGTGTACAAATGCACATTTTTCTGGTGCCTAACAGAAGGGTGTGTTTGTTAAATGTCTATATATAAAATAACCTACTTTTAGTTTTGATTGCTGAGTCATATATTACTGTAAATGATTTTGACGATCTATGGGCTAAAATAATGTTTGTAATTGTAGTGGTTGGATGTTTAAAACTTTGGAATTCTTCTTGTTAAAATGTAGGCCTACTAAAATAATGTTGTGTGTAATTGTAGTCATAGGATGGTTGGAAAAACGGTGTAATTCTTCTTGAAATGTACAAGATCATTTTGTTGTGGCTCCATTTGTCATATTATTCCAGTATTTTTGTGTGGAATTTGTTAGTAATGTGTTAAGCTAATTATGTATAAATGATGTGAATGAAATGTAAATAACATTGTCATGTTAAATAATCTATATTGAATTCAGCAAATAACTGGTCTGCTGTGGTAGTAGTTTAAGTAATCATTTAGATAATTGGAGTTTTATTCATGTACATGTTGCTGCAATTGCTGCATTTAAATGTACGTGTAAGTTAAATTTTATATGTATGTAACAGATGTTTTATTTGGTTCAAAGAGCACTTGTATTATTGTTTAAAAAGGATATTAATTATCAGACATTTTGTACAGGACGCTAATTTCACGAAAAATGGAAAATCATTTCCATAGGAATAATAAGTCCATAAATCAGTTTAGAGTAAAGCAATTCAAATTGAATATATACATTTAATTTACATATCCACATTTTTGTTTGTGTTAAAAAATATTATATAGATATTTGATTTTGGTTTAGAAAACTTAACAAGTTTCTTGCCAGACTTTATAAACACCATCTCTGGGTATCAATGTAGTCAAAGGAATTTATTCAACTTTAATTTAGAATATATAATTTCCAGCAATAACTATTTAATAGTGTCCCATCCTTGCAATCCTACCTATACTTTGGCAAGACATTAATCTGAATTTGCTACTCTCCACCCAGATGTTAAATGGGTACCGGTAGGAAGGAATTCCTTGAATGATGTGAGCAATGAAAGTCGGTAAGAGCCAGGGTAATATTAGAGCGTTTGGAGCACCTTTCATGGTGCGTATATGTGCACTATAAAAGTGAAAAATATTGTTATTATTATAATTATTCACTTAATATGAATTTATCTTTGTTATTTTGATTATGATTTTCATTTCTGAAATGGATATGTATCATCATTGCTGATAATAACATCCACAACTATTCTCTGTTATGATTCATTTAAGAAGGTTATTAGTATTCTCTTTAATATTTGTAATTCAATAAGTACTACTACCAGTGTATCATAGGATGACTGCAAGGAGGCAGGAATATTTATTGTCAATGGCACTTACCACCTTCTTACAGGGATCCTATGGTATAATTTTAAACAGTTTTCTTGTAATTATCCTACTTGTATTCAGTACTACGTGCTAGCCTTGATTCAACCAATCATATTTTTGTCTGTTCGGAGCCAGAAGGGCATTAACTCTGTGTTGAAATATATGAGTTAACGACCTCATGGTTACAAACAGCTTTTGTATTATAAATGTAATAACAATGACTTTTTAATGACCCCTCATGAATAAATTAGGGTTTTTTGCTGAATGGATGACAGTGACAAGATCTGGGTAAAAAATGGTGTTGGCAGTTTGAAATTTGCAATTTTTTAGACCATTTTTACTTTAGTCTGCATATTTCATACCAAGATTTTGTTGTTGCTTGCAACAATGTTTTGGAGTGGTTACTTTTCTGTCAGTAAGTTTAATCCATCACTTCCATTCTACATTATCCTGCTTTACATAATAATGTTAATCTTACTTTGGAATATGATAAAATATGTAGTAACTTTGTCCGATCTCAATGAAATTCATGACATTTACAATTATCATCCCAGTCACTGGTTTGATTTGAAGCATACAGTGTCTGTCCAATCTCCCACTTCCTGTTTTCTATCGTAGAATATATATTTTACCATAGTTCAGTACTTTTCAGGACATGTACATGTAGAGGTGTCGTAGTCCAGTTGTCTACACACTCGACTGCAGATGCAAAGGTCCTGGGTTTCAAACTTTCATATTCATAAAAGAAAAATGTGATATTGTGGATCAAAATTTGCATATCGAGATTATCTAGTTTATATACATATCGTATTGGTTTCATGAGCTTTGAGGATACATATACCACATAGGTTTTCAGTGTATGATTTGTAGATAGCTGAAATATATATTTTTTAGGTTATTATAGAGCAATATTAATTGCATTGGTACTTGTCACTCATTAAAAGTATATACAACTCAAATATAGATTATATTTTTATCTCATTTAAATCGTTGAACAGTTTGTTACTTCTTGTTTTTTCAGGGAGGCAGTATAGGACATTTTTGTGGCCTTTTTAGCCGTAGTTACAATTCATGAGATACTTTTGATTATTTATTTTTTTTAAATTGACCCTGAAAATGATAATATTTCATTGATCAATAAAGCACTCTGATTCAATGTAGTACTCTATGATTGCCTTAAATGAAACTTTTATCTATAACATTATTCATATGGCTTGGAAATTCCTCTGAAGTGCTTGTATTCTTATCTTGGCTAGTGTTTTCCTAATATTTTAGCACAAAACAATTCATTGCACTATAATATTGTAATTAACAGTGCCAATGATAGTTTTGTATGCTTGTACTGAAATCATGATGATGTAAATAACAATTGAATGTAATTATGTAGTACATCACAGTGGCGGATCCAGGGGGGGGGCCCGGGGGGCCCGGGCCCCCCCCCCTTGAGAAAAAAATCATGTAAAATCACGTGATTTTTACGATTTTTGGGGGTTGGGCCCCCCCCCCTGGCGCTCAAGGGGGGGTGCAAATTGAAATTTTTTTGAGGATCAAAAAAAAAAAAAGGGCTCACTACCCCCCCCCCCCCCCCCCCCCCCCCCCCCCCCCCCCACTGAGCGATTTTTTGGCCGGCGCGTTTTTCAATTTTTCGGGAGCAAAAAAAAAAAAAAAAAAAAATTGTGCTCTGTACCCCCCCACTGAGCGACTTTTCGGCCGGCGCGATTTTCAAATTTTCGGGAGCCAAAAAAAAAAAAGTTGGGCCCCCTCCCCTAAGAAATCCTGGATCCGCGCCTGGTACATCATTAAAATCATGTGCTCCTTTCGTCATGATTTTGGCGTAATAATCAACTCATATTATTTTCATGTCGTATGTGTACATTTTACTTAAGGAGAGGAGAATATCAAGATTGAATGTAAATTTCTGTCGTAGTGTTTATGTAATCATTATACTTTTACTTTCCAAATGCTGTTATCATATATGTTCTATATATTTTATATTTTCATTTATCAATATGTGAAATTTTGAACTTACTTTTTATTTTTTAGAAGAAAACTTGAGGATATTCTTTTGTTGGATTGTCATTTCGTCGAACTATTTTTTGATGTACAGCGTTGTTGTGGAATTTGATTGGAAATTGTTTGTCTTTTGAGATAAGATTTATTAAATAGGCCTTATTTGGCACCAAAAATATTGTATACAATTGAACATTTTGTTTTGCAAGTGCCCCCAAAACACGATCACAACTAATTTCGAAAAATCTACTCAAGGGCAATTTTGATACCCAATCAATCCCACAGAAATCATCATGTTCGGACTATTAATACGTCATTGTCACGTTTGCACATTTCCAATGGGTGACGCTAATTAAAGGCTATTGAAATTGTCTAAGGTTGATTTTCGAAGGCAGTTGCGATCGTTTTCCCATATTTCTTTCTTCAAATCTATGTATGTACATGTATGTTGTTGAGTTGGGCCAAATGGGCATTCTGATTGATATGTTGTCTTAGATCGCGTGCAAAATGATCGCTTTGAAACCTGAAAGAGAACTTGAAAATGCAAGATCTTTCTTGATTTTGAAGTACAAAGAGCCATATCTATTTTTGTTTAAATTCATGAAATGGTTATAGGTCATGCGTAATGTATACGTTATAGCTGCAATAGTTGGTGAACATAGTGGTGAGGGTGAAGACGATGGAAGAGAGAGAGCGAGAGAGAGGGAGGGAGAGAGAGAGAGAGAGAGAGAGAGAGAGAGAGAAAGAGAGATGAGACGGAAGAGAGTGAGATGTCCATGTATGACAATCGGATCATTTTCAAGTCTGGTGACAA